TCACACTTCAATATTTGAGATGAAGTTGATTTGAAAATCAAAGATAACTTGAATAAATCTAAAATATTCATTTAAAATGAAGATTGAATTTATAAAAAGCAGAAAAAAGCTCTCCAAACCAAGCTGGATATTTATTCTACGTGAAAGTTTGAAGGCCAACACCAGTGTGGATTATAAAATAAAACAAAAAGGCCAATCTCACATTTGACAATAAAAACCCATTTTGATGACCTTCAGCACTTCTGGATCTGATTAGAAGCTGAGCGTCCAAAACAAATGCAGCCATTCATAATTAAAACCAAACATGGTGGTGGAGTGATTGACTGCTTAAGAACCAATCCACGGTAACCACTTCTGAACAGCTCAAAAAGAAAATTCATAATAAATAGATGAAGGTTTTGGAGTAGCCTAGTCAAAGTTCAGACCTTAATCCAACTGAGATGCTTCGGCAGGACAGTTTACAGGCAGTTTTTAAATAAAAAAAACTCTCAATATGGCTGAATTAAAACAATTTAGAACAGGAAAGTGAACCTTAATTTCTCATCACTAATACATGATGGCGTTTGTTGCCCCCAAAGGTGAAACAAGGGGGCTATTACTTGTCTCTTATTCCATAAGACCCATTTGGTTTGGATACTTCCTTCTCCATTATAAACACTAATCCCCATCTGAAACTGCTCTTTAAATTTACTGATTAAATTTAGCTTGATCCAAAACATTACACCAAAATTAGGATCAATCTGCAGGAGTGAAAACGATTCAACCACACGGCAATGTTGGGTCTCACATTTTAAAATACAATGGTATTATTAATTTTCATCCTATCTCCATGACTTTTTCATTGTTTTAATGTATCTTCCAATAGAAGACCATTTGTTGAGAAATATGACTGTTCAAACCAATGCTAATGTTCCACTCGCTACTAAATAAAACAACTTGGAATGTAAAATAATAAACTAGATATTTAATTAAAATACTGCAATTTTAATATTTTGTATTCCAAACTAAAGCACTTTTTAAACGTTGAGAGATATAAATTGGACTCCTATCACATGTTAGAACCTGCAGTGATGATTAGCTTCAGAGCTACATGCCAACAGCAGCTAGCTAGGGCGAACAGTCATGCGGAAGCTTTCCTGGCTCCGACAGCAAACACAATACAAGACAACCGGCTCCCTGGTGGCCAGTGACCCGGGCCTGGACACCCTGGAAGCCCTGAGCTGACATTTATCCGCAAAAATACCGCAGACAGGCTGCTAACCTAGCCAACTAGCCTTCTAGCCGCCATGCTTTTTCTCTCGGGGAACACGTGGAGAGAACACGTGACGTCTCATAACAAACCTGCTCCTTTTTAGCGATTTAACGAGCAGACGCTTGCTTTCATGGTGGCCAACGTTTCTCGATGGAGAACCCGAGTGGACGTGGGCAGGAACCACGGCAGAGCCGGGCTAATGGGGTGGGCTCGGCAGACTGACTAGGCCCCAAGGGGAGTGTGTGCTATTGTTAGCCCCGGCTAAGCTGCTACACAGCCAGCCACAGCCCGGCTTTTATTCCGCTGTATTGATGCAGAGACTGGCATAATGTTCGGCGTGGCTGGCCGACCCAAAAGACAAATATGTAAACAAAAACAAAGACTGCTTTAAAGGTTTGACAAGTCCACAGAATGCGTCTGAACAGACTGCAAAACATGGTGTGAAAGAAAGTTTGCAACCAGACTGCAGTGATGACACTGCAAAAAAAGAGAAACAGCTAAAAATAAATATTTTTTTTATAATTATGGATCAAAGTGAAGCCAGTTTTTCTAACGACACAACAAGACAAAAAGACAGTTTTAGAGCCAAACCACTAAATTATAGGTCTGAGATGTGATTAAGAGCGTAAATCACGCAGAACCCAAGCAGAACCATCTGTGTACATGAGCATGAACGGATCGAGCATTTTAAGTGTTTTAAAGGGTGTGCCCACTTGGAGCAGAGACACCCATGATCCCTAAGAATAGCCTGCACCATACGGAGGGGGCTGACTCCAAATATAACCAGCCTGACAGCTCCGTTTGTCCCCACTTTTAGGTGATTTTCTAAATGCTAAAGCAGCCGCAGCAGAGCGGTGCCAGACCGCTGCTGGAGCACTGACAGGCCGGTACCGGAGCGGTGCCAGGCCGGTGCTGGAGCGCTGACAGGCCGGTACCGGAGCGGTGCCAGGCCGGTGCTAGAGCGGTACCTACCGGCGTGTGGCTGTCCGTTCACGCTGACCACGGTCACCGCGTTCATTTTCCTGGTCCACGGGTTCACCTTGGGCGGGGGAGCGTCCGTAAACTCCTTCCTGCCTTTAACCCCTTCCTCTCCCGGCTTGTCCTCGCTGTCACAGCCGTCCTCCTGGAACTCCGCCGCCCGTGTGGAGGTCTGCTCCTCGCCGCCGGTGGTCCCTCCCAACTCGGCGCTGCTGTCGGCGGCACCTTGCTGCCGCTTGGCCCGCTGCTGCTCCTCCTCTTCCTCCTCCTCTCCCACTTCTACCGGCTCGCCGCGGATCACTTTCCCGTGCTCCTCCGCCTTGGCGAGCGGGTTGCCGGGTAGGAGGGCCTCCACCTGAGTGGCCATTTCCCCTCCGCCGTCTTTCTTTCCCCCCTTCTCAGGATTTAACGGCCCCTTCCTTCCCCCCCACACTCTCTCTCTCTCTTACTAGTCCGAATCCGCCTTCAATTTCGGGGAAGTGTGAAGTTGCTCCGCGGGGTCTGCCGCTCCCCTGTCGCTCCGAGAGCCAAGACGCTTCGGCCCGGGATGCAGAGCGGTCAACACCGAGAAAAAACACGGGGGAAACCGTGAAGAAACGCGCCCGACGGCCTCTCAGGATTTCAACCTTATCAGCTCCACCAGCAGCAATATGGATGATCCCCACCACGCGACAGACGGGTGCGCGCACGTACGGTGTAGATGAGGAGTAGCAGCCACGTAAACGTCGGGAGCGCGTTCGAGGGTTCAGGTCGGGATGGTGCATTCAGGGGATGTCTGAAACAAAATGTTGCAGAATTACAAACCTTTGGAAACACATTTCCACCACTGTGATGAAATAAAAAAGTTTCGTCGTATAAGAAAAAATAAAACAATAAAGTCATAAAATTACGATAATAAATTCATAATATTACTAGAATAAAGTCGAAATAATATGAGGATAAAGTCATAATATTAAACCTTTATTCTCAAAATATTATGATTTTAGTATGAGGTTAAAGACCATAGTATTTTGAGAATAACGTGAAAATATAACATAATTAAAGTCATAATATTTTGCCTTTATTTCTGTAATATTATGACTTATTCATAAAAGCAGAAAAAAGCTTATATTCATTTTTTTGGATCCTATGGTCCTTGAGGGATATTTTTAATTTACGTCTTTGTAGACAATATTAAAAATACATGAAAAGATCCAAATAAATAATTAAATTAAATTCCTATAAACATTTTATTGTCTAAAATGCAAAACTACAGTATTAGTAAATCTGAACTGGGTGAAGCTAATGCCACTTGAGGAGTTTTGGCTAAAACATATTTAGAGACAAATGTGTTTNCGATCATGCACTTTTTCACGGAAATCGGCCCGATTATGATCGGTGACCGATCGATCGACACACCTCTAATGCACACTTAGAAAAATGTTGCAAGTATTATTAAGACTTCAGGGCAAGTGGTTGTGCTGCATGTTTTCAGTTTGATCACGCAACACCTGTAACCTGAATCAACAATAACGCACTTTTTCTGTTTAATCACGTCCCAGTCAGGCCTGTTAGCATTTCGTGTTTTCTCAAGTTGTTTATAAGTAATAAAGCTGTAAAAAGAATATATAACACTTCAACACAAATAAAACTCACATGCAGAAGCGGACAGACAGCCGCGGGGTTTCCTTTGAACGGTAGGTTTGTGAAGGCATCCAGCATAAACACGGGAATCTCCATTACGTCCAGGCCTGAAACTGGAGCAGTGGGGACGGTGGTGGTGTTTCAGTGGGCTCGCTGCTGTCCGTGGACTTTGAGCCTCTGTTTGGTTTGCAGACTGCAGTCACCAGCGACTCCCCTGCCACGGCTGCAGTTTTATTGGTTCACCGCAGTCTGGACCGGGATTATGGCCAGATTTTTTTCTCTATTTATTGGTTTAACCTAAAAAAAAAAATGTTGAACTAAAGTGAATGTCAAGTCAAGTGTTAGTTTTAAACTCCAAAATACAACAGCAACAATAACGGAAAAGATACATTTAAAACAAAGAGATGATAACATAAAGTTTCTTTATTTGAATGAAATTTCCATTCATTTCCGAAAATTTTTAATTATATTTTCTAACATATGTTTTATTTGAAAAGCAAATGTGTATCTGGTGCCTCAAAGTGCAACACATACAGAAACAAGAATAAACAAAAAACCAAAGCTATCACAAGTAGAAGTATAGCTGTAAATATATCTGACAAAAATTTACAAAAAAGGTATAAATAAAATGCCAAATGGTCTGACACAAAATATTTAAAAAGTCAAGAGTATTTATTGTTAAAAACCAAAGGAACAAATGTTTTTGACGTTCTACATTAAAAATTAAAATAGAAATGTAACAGGTGGCACTACAAGGCGTAAGAAAAACAATATGTCCCAGAGTGGTTTGTTGTATAAAAATACTTTGGCCACAATTTTCAACTAATCATGGTTTTGAAAGACCCATATTCAGGAGGCACTAAAGAAGTAGTTTACGTGATGTACCATGAAAATACCAAAGAGCAGAACTTGAGATACACACAAACAGGATCAAAATCAAAGAACCAGATTACCAGAAATATTTAATGGCTTCCAGTCAGCTCTGCTGAGCATTACCTCGGTGCCTTCAACAAGGAAATAAGCTATAGATAAATAAAAAAATATGCACGTTTTCTCATATTAAAAAACACAAATGTTTTCGAAAAAAACATTTTCTTTTTGTTCCTGTTAATCTGCTGTCAGCACACCAGGCCACTAGGGGCGGTATTGTCCCCGGCAGTTACTGTGCCGTTTTCTACATGAGGAAGAACCAACCTGAGCGCGTTTCCTGATAGTGAAACCTTTGGAGCTGGAAAACACCGGGGTAAAAAAAAAAAAGATCTTGCAAAATAATTTCTGTTTATAAACTATTTTTATTTGAAAAAATAGCACATTTTTCTGTAAATTCATGTTGATTCTTGGCTATAGTTTGCTATATTCTGGCTGGCGGACCACTTAGGCTCGTTGGTTTGACCGCTGTTTCTGTCCTGCCGTTGGCCTGCTATAATGGCTTCAACGGTAAAACTAGCATTAGCTCGTTAGCTCGAAAGAGGAAATACGTTTGCTTAAGTGTTACATAACTTACTTTATAGGCACACTGTTGCTGCAATTTTACCTTATTAACAGATAGTTAAGTTTTTGTGGGCACAGACACGGCGGCGTTATGAAGGATTTTAAAGGCGATCTGTGGTTTATGACACGACGTTAGATGAACGCCTAGCTGCGTGGAAATATGAAGCTATTTTTTCCTGCTGTAATTGTGGCTTGTAAAATTAAACACGTGTTTAAAACAGTGTATATTTTTAACTTTACCACTGGTTAAGCTTCCAGCACAAGTGCATTTGGTAAAATATATATTTTTTATCTTTAATTTTAACATCATGCTAGAACTAAAGAGTACAATCGATATTTTTGCCATTGACTACCATTTAAAATGCATTTTTATTACACACGAATTAAATTAACTTTAGCTTTTTGGGTATCTAAAATTTATTTTATTTTTGGCTGAAACAGGTATTGAAAGACTTAGAAAAAATACTAATTTATAAATATTTACGTATGATAAGAAAATAAGTTTTAAAGGCAGTAATAGAAACTATGGAGAAATATGCTGATACATGATATGTCTTTGTAAGTCTAAAATATCTATTTTTAATGAGCATTTTTTTCATCACAAAAAAATATTTTGTAAATGTTTATTGCATAGTACCTTTGTGCACTTGTTTGATTAAATAAGTTCTTCATTCAGCCTAAAGTTTGTATGCAAATTGACTATATTAACTTTGTTATCAACAGAGATTCTGAAAACTTTAACCTACAAAAGTAAATAAAAACAGTTTTTAAAGGACAGGACAAGTCAGTAGCAGTGCAGTCACAAATCAAGTTACTTGAACAGAAGTCACACGCTCGCTGACAGTAACATGACGTGTAAGAACACAGTAATCAAATATCTTTTTCTTGGCAGAAAGGATGTCTTCGAGTGACGATGGGTATGTGGTCCGAATCAGAGGACTTCCCTGGAACTGCTCACGGGACGAAGTGGCCAGTTTCTTCTCTGGTGAGAATAAACGCACATCAGCTGAAGTCGACCAATAACGTTATGAGTTCTGTTCGTCACAATTAACAATTGTGTGTTCCAGAATATACGGTGTATTAAAATGACTCCATTTTTGCCTAAATTTGTATCTCCATTTCTCCTTGCGTTTGTTTCAGTTGTCTAGCTGTAAACAAACCACTTTTACCCATTTACTTAAACCGTTGCGTATCCGATTATTTCTTTTAGCAGTTGGGTGTTTTTGTGAACAGTGTTGATAAGTTGTAATACAAATTATTCTCATTCTGTTCAGTCAGCATTAGACAATTTTGTTTCATTTTATGAATAACTTTGTTGAAATGTAATCAGCTGCAGTGACTTTTTACTAAATTTGTTCTCCGACATGACGATCCATTCCTGCAGACTGTGACATCGTGGGCGGCGTGAGTGGAGTGTGTCTGACCTACACTAAAGAGGGCCGATCCACCGGTGAGGCATTTATTGAGCTGAAAACAGCTGACGATTACAAGAATGCTCTTGCCAAGGATCGTAAATACATGGGACACAGATACGTGGAAGGTAAGTGTTGGATTTGTGATTTCCTGCAACGGTCTTTATTCAAAAATGATTGCTTTGCTGTTCATGTGGTGATTATGCTGTTTCCCATTCCCCCTGTTTACTGCAGAGGTTTACGTTTCATTGTATAATTGTGTGAATATAGTCTCTTTGTTTGATATTTAAAAGCCTCTTTCTTTTATAGCTTGTGTTATGTTCATATTTCCGTGTGTTCATGTGTTTAAAACAGTGTTTAAGTCAAAACATAGTGAAATGGAATGGGTGCTGAGACGTAGCGGCCCTCCTCCTGACAGCTGCAATGGCTGCATGCTAAAATTAAGAGGACTCCCCTTTGGATGTAGCAAGGAGGAGATTGTCCAGTTCTTTTCAGGTACACAAATGTTAAAGTGTTTCTGTAGCTTTTATTATAAAATCTTGTTCATTGCATCTTGGTAGAAGAAAATGTGTTTACATTTGAAGTTACTGTGTTATTGATAGTGTTGGTTATGTGCTTAAAGGTTATTAAAATCTGCAGCATGTAAGCACAACGCGAGCTTTCACTCGTTGGTTGCTAATATGGCCATAATAATTCAGTTTAATTATGTAGCACTAATTCACAACAAATGTAATCTAAAGACACTTTACTACACAAATAGATTTTCATTTCCCAACTTCCTACAGTCGAATTTGATGTTTGATTCAAATCTAATTTCATCATTTAGGAACCAAGTTGAATTTATATTCATACATTGTAGCGTGCAAAAAAGTAAATCGTAGTGCAAAGAGGAATGAGAAATAGTTTAAATTCAAATGAATATTATAAATAAGGTCTTTTTTTTTGTTAGTTTTCTCTTGAGCATGAGTTCCTCCATAATTCCTCAATTTAGGATTTTGACTGTAAAGTGGAGATTCAAGACAAAAACAAAACGATTCTAACAAAAACTAGTGACGTCTGAACTGTGAGTCTCCATAAAAACTCCAAATATTGCAAAAAGTGATTTAATCGAACCTTATGATCCAAACGCTGATTTTTTTGTTGTTGTTGCTACATATATTATGAGCTTATTTATTTATGTTTCTGTCACTGATATTTTACCTTTTAAAAAAGTTTACTTGTATGAGCTGGGATGGTTTGGCGTAAGACTGCCCAATAAATTGATTATTGTCAGGTCGTATCAGTGTTGTAGTTATTATATATCAGATGATAGCTGACATATTAATGGAGCAGGAAGAGCACCGTCACCTAGGACTAACCTCACTTTACCAAATCAACATTACCTGAGTGACGTGGCTCCCCCACCTTCTTCAAATCAGACTAATGTGGTGTCAGACGTTTGTGCAGCAAATATTCTTGTTTCTGTCACGATGACAAGTTTTGCTGGACGATAAATTGTTCCAGAAGTTATTGTGATGAATGATAATATTGTTGTCTTGAGACCATTTTTAAGTGAAATTATGTTAATGGTGAAATAATAATGCAAGAACACATTCTAAAAGATTCTAATGAACATTTAACACTGGAACTGGAAGACTTTTTAAATGTCCAACATAAATTAACAAAACAACAAAGAAAATAAACTTTGAAGTCTTTGTCAACAACATTGTCTTTTATAATAAGGCTAATTGAGGCAAAAGCCCCAAGCTGAAGACTTTTATCAACCAGTTTTTGGTAGAAAGAGTAAAAAAAGAGCTAAACGATAAATCATGCCACTAGAAATTGAGTTTGTTTTAATTTATCATGGGATTAATTGATTTATTGATTATTGTGGCAGGCTTATCTGTGCCGCTATCAATTTAAAGATATTAAGAAATATTTAATTAATATCTTCAAAGCTAAAGCAGCACAAAAGGAAATTTTTGCTGCACAAACGCTTGTCACCATTTTTGTCTGGTGTGAAGAAGGTGGGCGGCGGCGGGGGGAGCAACTTCACTCAGGTATAAAAATCTGGGGAACAAAGGACAGCAGACTGTGGCCATCTGCACTTTGGGTCCAGCTAATTTAGTGATGTCATTTCCCTGTTTAACCCTCACAGCTGGGGACATGTAACTATAAACTCAGGATCCTGAAATTTCAATGTTTGTGACGTTTTACAAGATGCTACTGATGATGATGATCAATGATGACACTAATCGTAAACGCTCCACTCATGCAGTGGGTGTTGTTCTCAACTCTTCCTACCAGTCTACCTACCGACCTATGTATTTATGTGTGCTTGGGTTGAAGGGTTCAGAATCGTGCCAAATGGGATAACTCTGCCAGTGGACTACCAGGGGAGGAGCACAGGGGAAGCCTTCGTGCAGTTTGCCTCAAAGGAGATAGCAGAAAAGGCTCTGGGGAAACACAAGGAAAGAATAGGGCACAGGTGGGACAGACGGGAGAGGGACGGGCTGGACTGGGATGGGTTTCTATGATCATTGTAGAATAACTGTGGTGTTGCTTAGATGGGCTGAGCAGTGGGTGAATGTGTGGGTTCGTGGGCTAAAACATTTCTGGAGAAAAAGGGGGAACTTGGTGATTTAATTGGGCGGGTTGTGTAATTCCAAAAATATTAATGAAATGGTTTTAAGGGTTTTTTCTGTTAAGCACATTTTGAAGCTGCTGTTATACATTAACCTTGTGAGACTGCGACATCTGGAGATGTTAGGTAATTTACCAGAAGTTGACTTGCATGCAGAAGTATTCACACCCCTGAACATTTTCATAATCTGAACTAAAAATGTGGAGGTGTGTGGGATGAACCAACACATAGTAGCACGCAAAAAGTGAAATATTATGGGTTTTTTTTAATTCAATTAGCAAAACAATGATTATACATTCTGGTAGGCCTGTACCAGATTTTACTGGACGATAAATTGTCCCAGACGTTATTGTGATAAACGATGATATTGTTGTTTTGAGACCATTTTCAAGCAATATAATGGTAAAGGGATAATAACACAGAAACACATTCTCCAAGATCAAAAAACTTTACATTTTTAATGAACATTTAAGACTGGAACTAAATAAACAAACAGAAACAGTTTTTGTAAACAATTGGCCTTCAAAATAAAGTTTGGTTGAGACCAAAACACCAAACTAAAGACTTTTATTATCCAGTTTTTGGTAGAAGAAGAGAAAAACGACGCAGATTAAATTTGTTGAGCTCCTTTTAGTTTATCATACGATTAATTGATTTATTGTTTATTGTGACAGGCTTATATTCTGGTACCTAAAACCCAGAGCAACCAGTAGCCCAACTCAAACTGGCCAGGAGAACAGAGATATGATAAAAGCATCCAAGAGACTCATCATAAGAAGTGAATGGGACCAATTTAAACATTTTGGTTTGCATACAAATTGAAATGCTGCACATCAGCCTCAACACACTGTCCAGAGGGTTGGTCTTTACTTATATTTAGTGTAATTTTGAAAGACAACCAGCCAAAAACAGGCTAATTTTCTTCCCCTGATCACAGTGTTAAAACGGTCCAGTCAAAGTACACATAGACCTGTCTAAGAGTCTTTGGCGGAGGTTTGAAAATTAGACTTCCTACATTCTGTCCATCCATCCTGATGGAAGAATTTTTGCAGACCATCAATCATTTCACTTCCACTTCACAGTTGTGTACCATTTTGTGTTGGTTTTATAGAAGAAAATCCAGATTTAATACTTGGAGGCAGTAAAAGTATAGAAATGGAAAATGTTTGGAGGGTGTGAATAGTTTTGCCAGTGTTGGTTTAGGACCATCAGAGCATCTCAGTGATGCTCAGGCAGCAGAAAGTCAAAGCTAGACCTAAACACCTTGTATGGATTAAGCCGTACGCATCAGTGGTGAGGTAGAAATCTAGAACAGGAAAATGCCCAGATTATGTTTCTATGGCTGTAAGTTTCTGTTTTCATTGTCTGTCTGTGTCGTTTCTGCACGGTAAGCCTCTCACCTTCCTCCCCGTTGTCCCCCGGGCCTCTCGTGTTGCAGGTACATAGAAATCTTTAAGAGCAGCCGCTGGGAGATCAAAGCGCACTATGACCTCCCCCGGCGGGGAACGTCAACCCAGAGGCCCGGGCCCTATGACAGGCCGGTCATAGCGGCGCCCCGGGGGAGCCTGTACGGGCCCGGACGCAGCGTGGGTCTACTGGACAACATGAGGAGCGGAGGCGGCTACGGAGGAGGTAAGCCTTGATTCGATTTATTTATTTCAAACAGGTTTTTAAAAACAAGAGAACGAGCAGAGAAAAAACATGCATTCATAAACAAGAACAGAATAATTAGTTTACCACGACTTTTCTGTTTGAAAGGAGTAGGAAGAAATGAACGCTTATTTAATCCTACCCTTTATCTCAGTTTAATGAAATACTTCACTTGCTGGCTCAATAATGGTCAAACATTTGTCTGTTCAGTATCCTGGCCTGAAGAGCCAACAGATCAGTTAGTTTATAACCGGAAATGAGCAGCAGCAATGACAACAGTAACAACCTGACATTCAGCTGCAGTTCCCCGTAATGTGCAGTAAAAACTAAGAGTCCACTGCAAACCTCCTGGTTCCTAATTTCTGAACCGAGTTAAACATTAATGTCGTTGTTACTAAATGAACATGAACTTGTTTTCTTTGCATTATCTGAGGTCTGAAAGCTCTGCATCTTCTTTGTTATTCTGACCGTTTCTCATTTTCTGCAAGTAAATATTAAATTTTTGCTTTGAGTTTCAGAGACATGCTGTCAGTAGTTCATAGAATAAAAGAACAAAGTTCATTTTACTCCAACATGGACCTATGCAAAGTAAAATCAAAGAAACTGATCATTTTAAGTGGCCTCTGAATTTTTTCCAGGGCTGTGTATGTGTGTCATTAAGGGAGCAGCGATTGCAGTTTTCTCTGATTACTGATCTTTAAAAAGCCTAACCTGTGCAGAGAAGAGCTGGTCTGTCAGATAAAACCTCCAACAGGACAGCAGAGTTCAGCTCCGGTAGAAAAGATCCACTGATCTCCAAACATTAAGAAAATTGGCTGATCAACACATCAGTGCATCTGTATGTGTTGTATATGAATATTTTTGTTTCATTTTTTTATTCCATTAAAATGAAGAATTTGTAAAAAAAAAAAAAAAGGCATAAAATGAAGAGGAGTGGATTATCCTTCTGCCTACTTTGTTTTCGTGTAGAGTTGATATACATTATCTAAATGTACATCAAATTATTTGAATTGTTTGAAATATGTAAACTATAACTAAACTAAAAATGCATTATTTGAGTTTCTTTATAAAGAGATGATTTACCAGCAGGTTTGTTCTGCCAGTGATTTTAATGTTTGAGTCAAGACAGTTTATTTTATTTTAGCTGAATTAAAGTGTTGTTATGTGTGTATTGTGTTTTCCGTTCGCTCTGCGTTCAGGTTACAGCAGCTTTGACAGCTACAACGGTCTGAGTGATTACAGTTACAGCGACGGGATGTTTGACGACCGGATGAGAGGAGACAGAGGAGGACGAGGTAAAGTTCTCCGATTCCTGATGAAAACATGAATAACTATGATTCAATCCAGCTAAACGGATCATTTGTTTCTAGAATAAATTAACATTTTAGATAACTACAGTTTTCTCGCATTTTTAAACACATTTTTTGAAAGTTATGCTGACTTATGTGAAGTTTTGTTCTTTTCTGAAAGCTACTTCAGTTTGTCTCACTTGGTAAATTTCTAACATTTTGTTTTTTGGTCTTTAGGAATTGGAGGCCACGGTTATAGTGGACAATCCGATAGCGGCTCAAGTTTCCACGGCGGCCATTTTGTTCACATGAGGGGTTTACCTTTTCGGGCCTCAGAGGGCGACGTTGCAAAAGTAAGAACACAATTGATGTGAGACTTTTTACAGAGAGTAACTAAGCACTGGAGTACCTGGTGTGGTAGTAATATAAGGTTTTCCTCCATTTTTATTCCCTGCAGTTGGTTTAATTTTCTTCTTTCTTGTAGTAGAATTAGAGCAACTGCATGTAGATGTAAACTTGGTAATAATCGTCCCTTTGCCTTCAGGAAATACTGCAGCAGAATCATAAAATGGAGCCCTGTTTTTTATTTTTCCCAGTTCTTCTCTCCTCTGAACCCGCTGAGGATCCACATCGACATGGCGCCGAACGGGAAGCCGACCGGAGAGGCAGACGTGGAGTTTCGCTCCCATGAAGATGCTGTGGCCGCCATGTCCAAAGACAAACACAACATGCGTACGTGTTTCTGTTTCTGTGCGACAGTTTGATGATACAGGAAATCATGGATACTGAAGTGATAAGAACCACATTCAAAAGGTTTTTCATCTCTCTGTAGCTTTCCTTTATGTTAAAATGAGACAAAACATAATGTATCTGAGAAACCTGAGAAATAAGAAAAAAAATAATCAGCACCTTGACATGGTTGAGACACAGATTCTTACTTAAAGTTTGTGATTTCTAAAAGGCTCCTAACATTTCCAGATTCAGCCATTTGGACCATTTTAAGCCCATGACAATGTTTAAAATATCTAGAAGGGCTAAATGTAACCTTCCTGTTATTTGTTGAAGCCTCACCCTGTGAGGTAGCAGCCTAAATCAAATCTTCTCTCAGTAACAACATCCACAATGAAGGGTTCTTGCTGGTGTTTTTTATGGTGTCTTTATTGAAACGTAATTGCTGATTACAGCCACCAGCTGATTTTACATGTTTATTTTCTGGTGAAGAGAGTCAGGAAGGCAACATTTATCATCAGGAGGTTGATCTTTAACACTTGGACGTTTTCTCCACAGAGCATCGCTACATTGAGCTCTTCCTCAACTCAACGGCTAATGGGGCAGGAGAGATGAGTGAGTTCTCATTCAGACGATCACAAATCACTTATGGACCCCCTGCATGTTATTGTTTATACCCTGAAATTTCACACCATTCTTTTACATGCCATGCATAGCCGCACTGCCGCGGTAGAACCGTTCTGTTCACTAATGATGATCTGTCAGAGTTGTGTGTTTAGGTCGCCTTTTTATTTTTTTAACTGAACTGAAACACAATGAATTCCACATCACATCTACATATTACGATCATCAAAGTCAAGCTAGCATAACTGAACTACCTCTCTTTCCCTCCATATTTTTGTCTTTAAACTTTTTCCTGACCTTGTTATCTAGTTGTCATTGTGTGGCAAAGCACTGTCACTTTTTCTTTTATATATCAGGCGTACATTTAAGATTTAGTGTGTTATATTGCTAATTTAGCAGCTAAAACCAATGCTAGTCATCGTTAGCCAGCAGCTGGCTGTGGCATATGACGTCACGCTGCTGGGCTCCACAGTCTGGAAACCTTCAGTTGACAAGCTACTGATATTTCTCCGCCGCCATTTCAGGCCGTGGGGGCGGCGGTTACTACGGCAGCTCAGGAGGAGGCGGAGGCTCCCGAAGCGGCGGGCTACGAGGCGTGTACTGATGTCGCCCGACTCTCTTCAGATCCACCCTGGAGTTTGTCTGCATCTCTCAAGACCAGTTTTACTACAGTATCACTTCTAAGCAGGAGAGCTGACAAGGAAGTCGCTTATCGACTTTCACAAACGACATCATTTAGTGCAGAGCCGTGACACAGATCCACCCCACATAGAAGTTCAGTCTGCAGCTCTGGTTTCACACTGTACCTAAAGATCTAAGATGAAGGACAAAACTTTCTCCCTTTGCTAAGATGTTAGCGCTTTAGTATCTGCTGAACATGTTTGTATTTGACGGTTTGTTCTTCTTACATTTTGTATGATATTTGGGTATTGTAATACAATTTATCACAAATATAAAAGGACGTACTTACAAAGTGCAATGAAAAGGTACATTTCAGTTTGTAATTTGACTTTGAAAACATTTACATTATTTTAGATTAGGAGCATTATACCAGTCATAACTAATAGAAACTAATTGCACTTAATGTTGTTTCGGTGCTGTGGGGAAAAATAATTCATCCCAAAGATTAGTGTTTTTTTGTTTGTTTTTTTAAATTCACGACAAAAATGCCACACTGCAGTGGGAAGACAGCGTAGTAAGGTCAAAGGTGATCAGCTGAAAACAATACGTTGTAAAGATGTTCTTTATATTTGATGTTTTTTAAAGGCTTTCTTTTTTATTCTAGTAAGAATACTTCCTTTGTTAGATCATCCTGACACTGATAAAAACAGATTTCAGATCAGCTTTCCTGGTTTGAAAGGTTTCAAAATTGTTTTTGTTTTTTATTAAATGTTTTCACAGTTCTTTACAGAATTTAAATCTTAAGTTGAATATGATGTTCACTCCTAATGAGTGGAAATGAAAGAAATTCTCTATATTTGAGCTGTAAGATAGCCTATGAAGCTGTTGTACATTTGCTTAATAAATTTTGTATTTAATTGTCTTCCTGAATTCGACCTCATGTGTCACTGAAGTGCAGCAGAAGCTCAACTAAACTGAATCTTTAATTCAGTCCTATCAGAAACCTTGTAGAAAAAATAGATTTACTAACAGGCAGGATTCAGAAAAAGCAGAAATATTAATAAGGCTGTAAATATTCCTGTTAAAACGGGGGATTGGTGAGGCCAATATTAGAAATAGAAATATGTTCACCTTTACTGAATATTCTACAGAATACAATATCCTTTTTTAAATTATTTTACCAATTCCCTGTTCTAAGACACATTATAAAAATATTTAAAGCGTTTATTTCTTGTTTTAAAGAAAAATTATTTTTTCAGAAAATTGGAATGTTAAGATAAATGAAAAAAGATATTTAATTTAAAATGTCAGACTTCTGAAAAGTAATTTGGTTGAGTTCTCTTTTGCATGAATTACTGCATCAACGCGGCGTGGCATGGAGGCTGTCTAGCCTGAGAAGCTTTGATAACAAATTGTTTATATGCTTTGTTTACCTGCAACTAAATTGCACAAATTCATAATTTCACTCAGCTAAAAGTAAAAAGCAGCTGTTGAAAGAATTACTCAAGAGTAAAAAGTCTATTCAAGTACTGAGTAACTGATTAAATTATCAATCATTTAATATTTCAGGATTACATAATCAGACGGACCAAAATATAAAGTTAAGTAGAAATTTTGGTATTTTAAAGAACAAAATTAAAATAATTAAAATAGAATCAGACAGAAAAGGTTTTTCAAAATCAGTTTCTATCAATAAAAACTTATGAAAACAAAATCTGTAGATGTGTCTGGTGGAGTTTTGGTTAAAACATGTTTGTTCTTCATTCAGTGGGTAAATTTTACTCAGGAGGAACTATTTTTATTTTTGTAAACAAATGACTCGAAAGTAAAAATTACAGCATAGTTAAAATACTTCTAGAAGTACTTATTTAAAAAATGTACTCAAGTAAAAGTAACTAGTTACGAACCAGCTCTGCAACAGATGGGTTCCACTTTCAACATTTGACGTCACTATGTGAAATAAAATAAATTTAATGTGTAGCGTTGGGTAGTAATTAGTTGCATTTACTCAGTTACATTTACTTGATTAACTTTTTTGAAAAAAATTACTTTTAGGAGCATTTTTACTACGCTGTACTTTTTACTTTTACTTCAGTAATTTTATTTTGAAGTACTTTGTACTCTTGAGTAAATTTTCTGGATTCTCTGCCCACTGAATGAAAAACAAAAATGTTTTAACCTAAAATTCACCAGAGACACACCTGATTTTACATATATATATATATATATATATATATATATATATATATATATATATATACTGCTCAAAAAAAATAAAGGGAACACTCAAATAACACATCCTAGATCTGAATGAATGAAATATTCTCATTGAATACTTTGTTCTGTACAAAGTTGAATGTGCTGACAACAAAATCACACAAAAATCATCAATGGAAATCAAATTTATTAACCAATGGAGGCCTGGATTTGGAGCCACACACAAAATTAAAGTGAAATGTTCCCTTTATTTTTTTTTTGAGCATTTTTTTTATATTGTGTAAAGCTTTGAATAAAGCCGCATTATCGAGTCTAGGTGTCGTTAAACCAAAGCACTTATTTTGAATTCGCTGAACTTCGTACTTCCGTCTGACGGTGAAGCTGGAGGTCGTCTCGTCCGAGCGAAAGGACGTCGCGATGAACGCAACCGAGGAGAAGCTGGCGGAGCTCGTGCGCGAACACCCGAACCTGTACGACCAGTCGCGCGGGGACTACCGGAACAGCGTGAAGGGGCACCTGGCGTGGAAAGAGATAGGCGCCGCGATGGGGAAGTCCGAGGAAGAAGTGAAGCTGCTGTGGAAAAACCTGCGCGACAAGTTCTGTAAAGCGAGGAAGCGGCTGGTGCGGAGACAGTTCCCCCAGCAGGACGAAAGCGACCTCCCGTGGGAGGTGCAGGTCCCGGGGCTGTTCAGCCAGATGGCCTGGCTCACCGCACACGTTAAACTACGGCCGGAGATCGGAGGGAGCGTGGGGGACCCACAGGAGGTGACGTCAATTCAGAGAGTTTTTCAGTTGGATTTCTGCTGGTGTTTAACTTTCACGCTGAGTGAGTTTTCAGATTCTTTTATCGGACATTGCAAACCGACATGGAAACACCTGATGGTAGACAGAGAAGATGGTTCTTCTGTTATCACGGCTGACAACATCCGCTTTGGTTCCTTCAAAACAAAAGCCCTTGTCAAGTTTCTGAATTAATCAGTAACTATTAGAAAATATTTGATAAAGGCACAATGAGCAATAACTCCGTTAGTCGCATGATAAATTAAAGTTAGGTCAATAATTTAATCGTTTTTTCTCTTACTACCAAAAACTGGATGATAAAAGTCTTCAGTCTGATCAACTGATCAACTTTTTATTAAGGATTTCATTTGTTGTTTCTTTTATTTCTGTTTATTTATTTTGTATATTTAAAATGTCTTCCAGTTCTAGTGCTAAATGTTTATTAGAATTTAAGACTTATTGATATTTGAGAATGTGTTCTTGCTTTATTATACCACTGTACCACTATTACGTGAAAATAGTCTGGTTCACAAAAGAAAAAAAGTTCTTAAAGTATTAACGTTTCACTTAAAATAAAAATCTAGATTAATAATAATGATAGTAATAACCGTATAATAATAATATATTGCATATTACTGTAACAGAAAATACTGTGCTGTTATTAGAAATAAAAATAGGACTTGTGATCCGAGGGTTATGTAACTGAGTCGGATCACTTTTCCAAAAAAGTACATAATATATTGAACATTGAAAAATACACTATTTACAATACAGCACATCAGTGCAGAGAAACAACTGTGCAATAAATAGTATAACNTTTAAGAATATTCAAGAAAAAATANGGTGCATACT